ACTGGATTCACCGGAACGCCGGCATTGTAGGCTACTCTCCCAGGAAACAGTCCTCGTCCTCCGCAAAATGCGTTGCACACATCTGAATATTTGGTTTGTACTGCTCTGGAACAGTAACACTCCAAAGAGAAAGGAAAACTTGAAATCGCATCATATGACCCCTTTAAAACTTACAAATCTTACACAAAGTATTAAAATGATTAAAAATGTTAATAACTTCAAAAAAAAAAAAAAACTACTTCTCCTGATAAAACCCCCAAAAACTAATAAAAATGATGAGGTACAAGGCACAAAATGATTAAAACATAAACAAAATTAAAAAGAAAACTGAAAATATTAAAATAAAAGCTAATATTTATAAATAATAGCATAGACATATTACTAAAGTAACACTGCTGATCAAATGTATACTTTGAATGTACAGTAAATCGTTTTGAATAAAAACATCTGCCACATGCTTGAATTTAAATGTCAACAAAATAACTATTTCAAAACATTTAAATAAAGTGTTCAGACTCTTTAAATATATAATTTTCTGCAGTGACTCTGAAATACAAAACCTTTCTTTCTCTTCTTCTAGAATAAAGAGAATCTAGGCCTTATGGAAAGACTCACCAGTTTGTCTAATGCACGTGCTCAAGGACTAGAAAAGATCCAGGCTCTGGAGGCGGAGCTTGGAAAGCTGACCAATGAGATGGCAGCTTTAGAGGAGAGGGCGAGAACAAAGTCTGAAGAGGCCAATCAGGTAAAGATACTAGGTGTGTTCGACTTCATGCAGTGCTGCGCAGGCTGATCGGCGGCTGACTTGAAGCAGTGCATGCCAGTTAGAAATTTTGTCCGAAATTTTGCGCCAACGCCACGTCACTGTGACGTATAACATCAAAGTACTGGAGGAATTCACCACATGACAACGATGACGTGTGTTGCATATTTATTCTGACACCTTCAGTTCCACTAATGCTCACAAATCTGTGTTTTTATAACAGTAAAAGCTCTTTTACTGTAGTCGCAATGTTATATTGAGTCATGTTTATCAAAAAACACTGATAAAAGTATATATTGACCCACTTAGTATAGGCTTATGTTCTTGTACAGATGGCGCTGCATTAAACAGTACATGAAAACGTCTCTGAAACGTCTGTGTATTTGTCAAATATTGCATTTAATTCTCTTCATCTGTGATAAAGCATGCAAACACTGTCACTACGGGAAGCAGAAAGTGTCCGACTTCACGACTTCGCTTTCAATTCTGTCCCCGACTGCAAGCAGCAACTCTCGCCGATCGGTCTGCACAGCGCCGCATGAAGTCGAACACATAAAAGTATTGAATATAATTATGAGAGTGTTCACTTTGTTCTCTTCTCCAAGACAATCGCTCTGCTTCAGAGTGACAAAGAGAAACTTACTGAGGCGAATAAGGCTTTGGAGCAGAAACTGAAAGAGACGACCCTGCAGATGCAAGGTGATGAGTGAACTGGCTTTAAAACAGTGATAATTAAGAGTGTGTGACTGTAACTTATGAAACATTTGTTTTCCAGATCAATTTGAGGATGTAAAGAGAAAACTGATGGAGGATTTAGAAAGAGAGGAGAGATTCAGAAAGTAAGAGTGTTTTGTAAAAGAATAGTTCACCCAAAAATCATTTACGCACTCTCATATCTTTCCAAACATGAGTTGAATGTGGAACTCAAAAGTTAAGTTGTTCAGAAGAATGTCCAAACTGCTCATATTATGAAAGTGGATGGTGACCATGTCAAGCACCAGAAAAACCAGCATGAAGCCAACATAAAAGTATTCTAAAAGTGGTCCAAAAGCTGCATGATAGCTTTGTGAGGAACAGACCTGACTTTGAGTTGTTTACACTGAAAATTACAGCTTGGACATTTCTCATTTTCTTTTATTAGGCTATCAATCAGAGCTTTGTCGAAACGCGTTTGTGCTAAATCCGTTCTCTGTTCTGTCAGGGTGGCGGAGCACAACAGTGAACTCCAGAAGGAAGACTCGGATAAAGAGATCGTAGTACTGAAAGAGGAAAACCGTAGACTGAGAGAGGAGCGAATCAGGCTCCAGACGCAAGTGGAGGAGGACGAGAAGATCAATGCAGAACTGCAGGAACAAGTGCTGCAGCTCACCAAACACGTCAAGGTGAAGCACACCTCTAACTCTTCCTTTTTCTTGTTTCTTACATTTTTCCCAAGTTTAAGAACAAGTACATAATGGCAGTTTAATTATACTGCTTGCAAGGCACTTACAGTAGACCGAAGCCTAACATGAAGGATGACCATGCAAAAATAATAAATAAATACATTTGTGCATGAATATATAAATAAAAAAGAAATTATTAAATGTATGAGGAGATTTACAAATAATCCATTAAATCAATCAATGCAAAAAAATCAATGCAATATAAATCAAATGGTTGGGGAAATGCAAAAATGTTAAAATAAATGCAAAATTGAAAGTTAATTTTAAATTATGTATCTTAATTTTTATTTAGATATCTTAATTTTTAAAATTTCTTTCATTTTTAATCTCTAATATTTTTTAATTCTTCACATTTGTCCTTGTACATTTGATTATTTCATATTTGATTATTTGTATACAAACACACACACACACACACACACACACACACATATATATATATATTAAGCATATATACTGTGTGTATGTATATATATATATATATATATATATATATATATATATATAATAAATGT